TGATTTTTGGCATTCTCTGCAGGAAGCCCAAGAAAGAGAAGACAGCCACTAAGCCCACGCAGGGAGCAGAGCTGCTGAAGCGGAAGAAGAAAGGATTCCTGCCAGAGACCAAGAAACGCAAGAACCGCAAGAAAGGCGTCCAGGAGAACGGGGTGGAACCAGGGGAGGGTGGAGAACCAGCCCCAGAGGAGCAGCCCCTGGGAACACAAACCCCCAAGAATAAGAAAGGCCCCGTGCCTGGGGGCAGCAAAAAGCACCCAAGCAGGGCGGGCAGGGAGAACGGAGTGGCAAAGGCAGGCGGTGGGGACCTCCCCACTGCTGATGAAGGAGAAGCTGTGGCTGACAAGAAGAAGAAGAAAAGGAAGAGGAAAAACAGAAAAAGAAAAGGTGCTGCAGGCGATGAAGCTGAGCAGGTTCCAGCTGCAAAGAAAACCAAGGGGAGCGTTGTCCAGGAGACCCAGAAGCAAGACAAATCCAAGAAGAAAAGAAAAGAGAAACAAGTGCTGCAGGAGTAAACTCCATGGACTCAGCCAGGCCTGGCATGGCTAGCATGGCTCAGAATATCTATAGTTTTTATACTCTCCATGACTTCTAAATAAACCTTCCATGATGCTGAGCTCTAAAGCTGTGGGTCTGGCTTGTGTGAAGGGTTCAGCCTAGAGCACAGAGAGCTTCAGGAGGTTACACAGGCTCTGGGAGATGGCCACTTTTTCTTCTCTGGCAGTGTCAGAGAATCCTGTCTCCATGATTTCCCAAGGCAGAAGCGAGAGTCTGGTTTGGATTCCTCGGGGAGTTGAGGTGGGTGTGCTGGCACAGCTGAGTTAGTGGTCAAGCCCACGTGGGAGACTCAGAAGTAATTCCTAAAGGCTCATCCCTGTCCTGCCCGGGCCCAGCAGTGCTCACAGCTTTTCCAGTGTGGGAGATGCAGCCTCCAAAATGGCTGGGGTTGGATGGGTTTGCACAGCAAACTCTGGGGTCAGCTATTTCCAGTTTGACCACTCTGGTATTGTCTGTAGCTACCATGATCTGCTTTTTCTTGCCTTTTTGCTGCTGAGTGCTGGAGGGGTCATGGCCCCTGTGGTAGTGCAGGGAATCAATAAATCAGTGAAACAATTGAAATGGTTGATTGATTGGCCGCTGTGCCAGGCCTGTGTGCAGCCCTGCAAGGCACCTGGAACAGCAGGCCTGCAGCAAACAGTCTGGGAGGGCAACTGCCTGGAATTGCATCTGCCTATTTATCCCCAGGCTCCTGAATGCTGGGATGCCATCATCCCTTTGGAGAGTGCCAGGACCAAGTTCTCCCAGGCGCTGGGTACCTGATCCTTCTCGAGAGCTGAGGTTCAAAGTGTTTGAAATTCTGCTCATGCTGGAGATGCCACCAAAGCCTCCCCTGCTCCTGGATCCAGAACATGGGTGTTGGTGCCTGGCCCTGACTTCTCTCCAGCATCTGAGGGAGCAGTGCTGGGTTAATTCACGGACCTGATGACCTTGAAAGTCTTTATCAACCGTAGTGATTTCTGTGATTCTCTGAAGGCCTCACTGCTCTCCTCCCTACTGCAGAGGAGTTTGGTGCTGGCTCCTGGCAGAGGGAAGGGCTGGGAGCAGGGCTGTGCCTGTTGTGCCTTCAGCTCTCATCCTGCAGGTGGGTCTGTACCACCAGGCAGAGCTAAGGGCACTGGAAATGTCACACTGCTTTTGGAGGGGGTGAGAGAAGAGCTGCAAAGGGCTGTGTTTGCCCGTGGCTGTTTATCTGCCTTTGCAATGATTCTCTGCTCAAATGGCACAGAACTCCTGGGAGGCAGCAGCACAGACACATCATTGCAGACCCACAGCTTCCACCTTCCCTGTCCCAGCAGTGATCCCACAAGCTGAGCTGCACATCCAAGGCGTGTGCTGGCTCCTGTGAGTAGCAGCTGACAGCTGGAGTTTCTGTGCCACAGTTCAGCAGGGAATCTTTCCTGTGCCTGCCTTTCACTCCTGCCTCCACAGTGCTCCCTCGGCACGTGGGACTCAGGACTGAGGGGCACTGCGGTGCTGCCTGGGAGGACACAGCCCTTGTGCATGCTGGATGGGGAGGAGCTGGCAGGCTCTGGACTCTCCAAGTCAAGACTGGCACAGATTGGGCAGGAGGTGAAGGGCAGCTCTCTGTGTGCCCACCCTGGATGACTCTTGGCTTCCAACCTCGGAAGGGTTTGCAGAGGTACCCAGGCAGGATGGAGATTTGGGCTGCAGGTGTCACCGGGACGTGTCAGATCAGGCCTGCAGGAGGTGGCTGATTCCTGCTGCCCATGGTGCCCCCACGCTTGTCTGAGCAATTCAGGGCTGGACTCACCCTGCTGGACCTTTTCTCCCAAAGCACTTACTCATCTGGAGGTGGCTGTAGGCTGGAACAGCTGCTGTTGCAGCCTAAAGAAGAGCTGCAAATCCCTGTTCTCAGGCAGAAGGTGGTGGCAATTACTGCCAATCCTGTCTCCAGGAAAAAGGGCACTTCTGCTCCAAATGGGCCTGTTGACACTGAGGAGCTGCCCTGCCTCTGCCATTTACTGCTGAAAGCTGGTTCACTGCCTCGGTAAAACCTCAATCCCAGCTAAGCCCCTCCAGCTGTCCCCAGTGATGACTTTTCATGTATTATGCAAATGCAGCACACAGGAGGCCAGCAGGTCAAGGCTGTCCCTGGTTTAATGATCCAGAGGGGCTCCAAAGGGGACAGGGGGCTTCAGATCTGAAGTGTCTCACTAATGATTTCTTTCTCTCTGTGCCTGTAAGTAGGACATCCTGGGAATTTGTGCCTCTGCTGTGTGGATCCGGAGGAGCAACAGGCAGGCATGGTGGGTGGGAAGCAAGAGTGAGCTGGAGGAGAGGGTTCTGTGCAGGCAGTTCAGGGAGGGAATCCCCACCTGCCTGCAGAGAGTGCAGCTGTGGCACCCAGAGCCACCAGGCTGAGACCCCCAGAGCCTGACTGAGCTGCTCTGGGATACCTGCCAGGGTCACTGCAGTGAGGGGATCAGCTCTGGGATACCTGCCAGGGTCACTGCAGTGAGGAGTTCCCGTGGATCAGCTCTGGGATACCTGCCAGGGTCACTGCAGTGAGGAGTTCAGTGGATCAGCTTGTCACTGTCATTGCGGGGAGGCCAAAGCTGTGCCAGCTGTTGTTCCTGACACAAGGATGGCACTGGGTAGTGCCAGCTGTCAGGCTGGAGAGGTTGACTGGCCTCTGCTTTCTGTGTTCATGGGTGTGTTTAGTATCCAGGACTTGCAGAGTGGTCAAGGGGAAAGGGGACAGGAGAGCTGCAGGGCACAGTGCGACCCATGCTGCATCGCCTGACTTTGGGCTGGCTTTGATGCAGTGCTTATAGAATGCAGTCACTAATCCAACAAGTCAAATTGTGTTTCACCAGCACTTGTTTAGGCCTTTTAATAATCACAAAGGTCTCATTTAACTTGATTTCAGGTCCTGTTGCTCGACTGTTGGGGCTTTAGATGACTGAGCATGCTCTGATTTAAAGGAAGTCTTTTCTTCTCAGCTGTCCTGGGCTCAGAGCTCAGAGCTCCATGGTTCTTCAGGATGCAGGAGAACAGCCCCAGCCCTGGGCACTGAGCTCAGGGGAGGGAGGCAGTGCTGGAGAATGGCCAAAGCCACAGAATAAATCCAGGCACGTGGAGTCCTGTGAGGGTGGTGAGGCCTTGGCACAGGTACCCAGAGCAGCTGTGGCTGCCCCATCCCTGGAAGTGTCCAAAGCCAGGCTGGGCAGGGCTTGGAGCAACCTGGGATAGGGAAAAGTGTCCCTGTCCATGGCAGGGGGGTGGAATTAATGGGTCTTTATGGTCCTTCCAGCCCAAACCATTCCAGTGATTTCTGATGTAAAATCTCTGTCTGTCATGCAGAGCTTTTGCCAGGGACTCTGGGCAATGGGTGCAGTGTTGGAGTTGCTCAGGAGAGGCTGCCATGCAATCAGCACCTCTTTGTACAATGTGATAAATGTAAATGCACCAGTGACACCAAGAGCATCAGCTCGTACAGCTCAGGGGAGGGTCAGGGCAGTCACCCTGTGCCAGCCCATGAGGCTCTTGTTTGTCACAGCGTGGGTGGCCCTGGGAGAGCTCTGCAGGCAGTGAGGGGTTTGTGAAGCAGGGATGGAGAGTGAGTGAGTGTGTGGGGGCACACACATAACACACACACACGGGTATGGCCCTGATCCAAACCCACTGTGGACAGCACACTCTTGTTAGCAGTAGCTGATGGATGGAAGCTAAAGCTGCTGAGCTTCAAAGCTTATCTGCTGGAACATCAGAATTTGGAAAATTATTCTTAATCAAGTAATTTACAAGAATGATTAGGCTGAAAGGCCTGAGAAGCACTGACAAAAGGCCATCAGGGATGGTTGTTTTAAGTGACAGAGCCTTTGCTTTTGCAGTTTCCTGGCTTGGACACTGCCCTGTGCTGAAGGAGGAGGACACTGCAGGGAGGCCCTGCTGTGGAGGGGTCTCTCCCAGCTGGTCAGGAGAGCCTCAGACATCCCTGTCTGTGGCACTCAGCCCCAGTGCAGCGGGAGCAGCCCCTCTCTGCTTTTATCCTGTGAGCTTGGTGGGTGTGGCTGCTGTGGGGTCACTGGAGAAGGGCAGCCTTGATGCCCACTGTGGGGCCACTTGGGAATCATTTCCTGCCTTCCTGTCCATCCTGCTGAGCCCATGGCTCCCACACCACCCGTCCCCAGCAGTCCATCAGCCAGGTCCTCTAGCTGTGCTGGGAGGGGCCTGGAGCAGTGTGGGACTCCTTCCCTCAGCTCTGATCCTGGCTGGATCCAGCTCTGGGGAACAGGAGGCTGTAATCCACCACCTTCCCTGCCCAAAAAACTCCAGGCAGGCTGGTGTCCAGGGAAGTTCTTGGCAGCCCCGTGGCTGCTGGAGCTTGGAGCATCCTTATCCCAGGGACCAGCCCTGCAGGCAGCAACCACAGGAGTGCACAGCCAAGAGGTGACACAAGAAAAGAAGCCAGGGGGTACATTTTAAATACTTTTATTTCTTAATTTACATAAAGGTATATATTTGGCTTATCTTTTTTTTTATATACTCTGAGATTCACAATCAATTGCTCTTAAAAAATAAAATAGTCATTTGCTTCTGAAAGAAATCAGAAAACTATTTTATACTCCTCCCTTGTATAACAAGAAAATACACTAATACTCCCGTACATCACGTAGTAAAAGTGATTGTAAGTGCTGGTTTACCAGACAATAAAGCCAATGGAGAAGAGAACAACATTTGGGGTGGAGCTTGGAAGGACTCTGCTTCCCAGAGCACAGCCTGACACTTAAAGGGTTCAGTCACCCTGTCGGGAGAGGCTCCTGGGGCCACGCAGAGCCACTCTGGAGTGGTGGCAGCAGGAGCCCCTGGGGTGGCAGCAGGAGCCCCCCGGGGTGGCAGCAGGAGCACCCTGGGGTGGCAGCAGGAGCACCCTGGGGTGGCAGCAGGAGCCCCTGGGGTGGCAGCAGGAGCCCCTGGGGTGGCAGCTTGCTGCCTGCTGGGTCATTCTCTTGCCTCTTTGGGCAGGTCCCATTGCCTCATTTCCCACAGTGTGTACAAACCACCTGACTGCCAGTGCAGGAGCAGCTGGGGGGAGTTAATGCTTTAAAAAAATCCCCTTTATGAAGTGGAGTAGAAGAAAACCCTGGTGATTAACTGAGGGGCAGCTGGAGCCTCCCTGGTGCCTCTGGACACTTGCACAGACCCTGCTGAATGCAGCAAGGATCTGAAGAAGCCTGAGCCTCCCTCTCTTAGCCTGGAACATGTGGCAGCAGGGATTCAGGGATCCTGTGGTGAAGGTAGGACTCGTTTCTCACTCCTTTGTTTGCTCCCTTCCCTCTGTCCTTGTTTAAACAGAATCCACAGCACTTCCTCCATGTGCACAAAGGATAAAACCAGCACTGAGCACTGGGCCTGGATTCTGTCACAAACAAGGACTGCCAGTGACACTACAGAACACTTCAGTTCCCTTTTCATTGTTGACTCCTGAGAACTGAGTTTAAGGAGAATTCCTAATCTCTGAACCTCAGCAGAAATGTGCCATTTTGTTGACAATAAATGCTACAACAGAGAGCCTATCAGAAAAGCAATTTAGAAAATGTGGTTAATCTTCTTTGGTCTCTGAGATGAAATGACTGATTGTTGGGTTGCTTTTGTTTTTTTTTTTTAAACAGCTTAAAAAGGAATTTCTTAATGGGAATCAGAAATTCATGTGCCTTTAAAGCCAAATGTTTGGCTCCCAGATTACAGGCCATGTTTCCCCTCCGAGTGTAAATAGTGGCACGAGGTAGGAAGTGAAGCATTGTTGGGATTTGCTTTGCTTTGTTATTTCTAGCACCTGCTTGCTCAGGCACTAGAGGAACACTTCTGGCTCTGGTTCTTTAGGCAAGTCTTAGAGCTATTGTTAAGGAATTTCAGGTGACAGAACCCTTGCAGAGGAGTCCTGTGAGGGCTGGGGAGGAGGAAAGGCTCATGGGATTATAGGAATCCCCAGCCTGGGCAGGGACTTGCTATGGGGTGAGCAACTGGAATTAGAACCATTTCTGCTGCAGTGCTGTGCTGTAGGTCCCAGCACATCCTGGCAGGGAATGGGAGATAAACCCAGATTTGCTAACAGTACCTTGCTATGGCACAGCCAGGACAGCAGCTCCAGCCTTAACTCACATCTAGTCCTGGTCTGACATTTCTTGAGCTGATTTAGTCCCCCTTGGACCCCACGTGCAGTCACTTGTGAGCCAAGAGCACAGGAATGAGGTGCTGGCACCTGCTCAGGTTGTGCTGAGCTGGAGGGGAGATCTGGACTGTGAGAGGGGGCTCAGAACACGGGAATGGGGGCTGCTGGGGCACTGCCCTCCCTGGGGCACTGCCCTCCCTGGGGCACTGCCCTCCCTGGGGCAGCCTGGCCCTCTTCAGGACCTGTGCTCCCCTTCTTCCCCCATCCAGCTGACACAGCCCAAATTTGGCTTGTGGAGGCCAGGTCCAGGAAACAAGACCGCAGTGGAATGGCACCATGACATGCTCCTGCATTTGAGTCTAACCCAGCTCAGGCACCAGCCTTGTCTGAAAGCCCTCAAAGGCACCTTTTAAAGGTACAAGTGCTCCCCAGTGACAGGTCAGGCTGGGTGTGCAGGAACCCAGCACTGCTCTGAGGGCAGAGTCAGTGCCTGCTCTGGGATCCTGGCAGGGAGAATTAGCATTGACAGTCTGAGTGATATGGCATCATGTAAACAAAGCACGAGGTCACTGGCACAGCAGTATTGCACTCCCAGGCCCAAGGTGCAGCCATTCAGCTAGGTGGATTTTGGTATTTTAAAAGCCCACAGGCTTTTAAACCTTTTTTAACCTCCTAGGAAAGCTGAATTTAGCATATGGAAAAGTCTAGAGCCTGTAGGGATTTCTGTCCAACGTTCCTCTGGGCCTTTCTGTGACAAACACCGGCATACCCAGTGCAGTGAAACTCTCTCCTCTGTCCCACTGCTCAGGCTCAGTGACAGGTAGGTCACCCACTGGAAATTTTCCTGTGGTGCCCTTGCAGGCCCTGGCACCAGGGCACTGAGAGGAGGAGAGCTATGGACGTTATTCATGTCTGCTATGGTTGCACAGGCAGCTTCAGATTTCAAATGTTTAAATAAAAACTTTATCTAAGTATATATATATATATATATATATCTCATCTAATGTCTCCAGCAGAGATAAAGCATCTTATAACATATTTAAATAAAAAATAATAATCTGAATCAAGCCTTCAGTGTCAAAGAAAAGGTGATGTACAAAACAAGTCCTCAACTAGTGCAGTCTGTGGGAGTGCTGGCAGAGCAGCAGCATTCCATAGGACACCAGCTGCCCTACAAACAGTGTGGACTTCACTGGTTACAACTAAAACCATTTACACAATCTACAGTTGCTCACTTGGGCAGCTTTTCCTGGGTCCATGTTGTTGGTTTCCATGCTCAGGGCCCCGGGAATGTCCTCGTGTTCCACGTTCCCGGCTGCCCTGCTCATCTCCTGGCGCCTGACCCCGCAGGCTGCAGGGATGGGTTTGGTGCACAGACCCCCTCTGTGATATGGAGCTGAAGGATCCACTGGCAGCCAGCACAGAAGGGCTTCAGACTGAGATTGGGATGGTGGGAGCAGGAGTCCACGTGTCCTTGCCTTCCCTGGCAGCTGCAAACAGGGAACAGAAGGTCACTGGGGCAGCTCCAGGGATGGATTGCTGATGGTGGTGGGGGCCAGCTGTGAGACCCCTGGTCTCTGTGCACACAGGGGGCTGGCAAAGCTGCCCAGGGTGGAGGCAGCACTTGGGGATGTGCTGAAGCCGTTTGGAATGGGAACATTTGCACTGTGATCCTGGCCCAGCCTGCCCCAGGAGGTGACTGCAGCTGTAGCTCCCGTGTAGCCTTAAGGGCAGTGTGGAGGCACAACTGCTCCTGCTGTGGGCTGAAGCAGCTCAGCATGACAAGCTCCATTTCTGTTAGACTGTTTTTGATCCCCTCAGCTTACTAAAGAGGGACTGTTGTGCCTTAAATTGTCATTTTAGAAATGGCTGTCCCTGGAGAGCCCAGCTCGGTGTGCTGCTGACAGGGCAGAGCAGGCACTGCTGGTGGCCCATGCTGGCTTGAAGGAGCATGTCAGCACCTCTCCTCACTGCTGAGGTACCACTGGTGGCTTCTCTAGCAGCCAGCTGCTTTCCTAGATAATGGGACAAGGATAACCAGTTCTCTCACTGCAGGATTTCCTGTGAGAGGGTCTATGCTCCATGTCATGCAGGAAATTGCCCCAACCTTAAAAATTAGTGGCTGCTGCATTACAGAAAAATTCCCCTGTGATGGTGCCCTGGTTTCTTTCAAGCTGTGTAAAAATTAACCAAAAAAGGTGAAAGTGCAGTGAAAACCTTGGTGTGCCCAGGACACAGGTAGTGAGGTTTATAAGCCTCTACTTTATAAGGCAAATTTCAGCAACAGCACCAAGTATTTCCTCCCAGATTTGTTGAAAAAAACCCTCCAACTTTATCTAAAAGCTGCTGTTAAATAATACTGTGTGACTACACATCCAGCCCAGAGCCTGCAAACTCCAGGCAGCCCTATGCCCAAATCCACTCCCTTCTGTGGAAATAACACATCTGCTGTGCTAGAGATTGCATTAAATCTTTTCCCTCAAAAGGCCATTCTGAAGTGTCTTTCTGAGTTCTGATTTTCTGATTAGTCTTTCAATGCATTTAATTTATGGGAAAGAAATCTCCTCTTCAAAAACTTCCTTTAATTAATTTTGGCTCCAGTAAAATGCTGGGAAGTGTTTATCACTTGTGGCAGCTCCAAGCAGCAGCGCTGTGGCTGTGGGGGAGTGATAAGGACAGCATGGACACAAGGGACAGGGTGGGCAGCAGGGAGGGGACAGTCCCTGGTCCCTCTGGCTCAGAGGTGGCACCCTGCATCGAGGGTTGCAGAGGGGACAGCCCAGCAACAGGGTCAGGTGCTGCCAGGAAACACTTTCTGCAGAAAATCTGGACTGTGCCAGAAATGGTGGCTTGGTAGCAGCCCATGTTTGACCCAGAGCAGGGCAGCAGGAGGTTTTGTGAACATCAGAAGGTTTTCAGTTCTGGCCTGGGACACTCACACTCCTGGTGGTCAGGGGGACACGGGTAACATGGGCTTCTATGCTCCAAGAAGGGAACACCTGGAAGCACCTGATGCCACAAAGGACACTTGAGTTGGGCCCTGGTTTCCCTGTTCTTGATTTGCTCTGCTCTGGGCTGAGGGCAGCAAAGGTGCACACCAGAGCTGGCTAAGGAAACTTCTCTGCATTTCATAAGGAAAGAAATGGGCTGACAGGGGTTTGGAGCAGAGCTGTACCTTGAAACCTACTGCTGGTTTGGGTCACTCACCGTCTCAGACTTTCACAGAGGCTGGTGGCATCACAAGCTGATTCACCCTGGTGAAGAGAAAACAACAGTGTTGTGTGAGAGCTGCAATTAGCAAAGAAATGGATTCCTAATAACATACCAGGCTGGTAAATCCAGGTTTTGGTTGTTTAACAGTGTTTAAAGCAGTGGGACATTAATAACTGTCCTCCACAATGGTATAAAGCTGAAACCTTGTCACAAAGGGGTGTCTGACAGCAGTGCTGACAATGGCTGGAACATGCCAAATAACACTGCTGGCACTAATTGACAAGGATTTGGGAAGGTCCCAAAGGCATCCAGGTACCTACTATTTCCCTAAGCCAGTACAAGATTGCACAGTGACTGTTGGTGTCCTTCAGCCTGACAGCACAAATGAAAACAGTCATCACTGATAAAAATTAAGAAAAAAAATGAGTTGTCTTTCAATTTTCAGCTCCTGAAGACCTGCTGCTGTTCCAGGCACCTGCTCCTGGGTGATGGACAGCGTGTGGCAGGAGCTGCTGTGTCACCAGGCAGGAGCTGTCCTGCAGCTCCTGGGATGAGGGCAGCGAGGGGAGAGCTCCTGTCTGCTCTGTGGGACAGCAGCAACAGTCCTGCCAAGTCCATCCCTTGCACCTCCTGCTTGTCCTTGCAGCACATGCCCTGGAAATTTCAACCTTCCTCAGCAGCAGCTCCTGTCCCGTCCCCTCCCATGCTGCTCTTGTTACTCAGGGACAGGAGTGAGTCCCTTTGAGGGTGACACACAGAGCAGGGCCCGTGGGAACTGCCAGAGGTGTCATCCTCACCCTCTGAGACCTTTGGAACTTGCTCACTGACCTCAGTGGGAACGCCTGAGTTCTTCCTCACTGGGAAACCCCCAGCACACCTACAGACCTGCCCTGGTGTGGCTGTGGGAGTGCTTTACCCGAGGGCTCTCTGGCTGTACTTGGGCAGCAGGAACATAAATAAATCTGAGTTACAAAGGGAGAGTCTCCACCTACCAATGGAGGTTGGCTGTTGTGGTTTAGGACTTTTTATTTCTGTTATATGTGCTGCTAGGAGACAATAATGACCAGGTATTAAGAGAGGCAAAAGAAGTGGCACAGCTCAGGGGAGGGGTCCAGCTGGCTGCCCTCTCTTTTTACCTGGGGGTTTCTCTGGGAAAGACAGAGACACTGGAAGAATTGGGCTGGGAAAAAAAAGGGGCTGGGGCTGCTGCTCTGTGCTCACCTTGTACACACACACTCGAGTAACAGAACTCTTGTTTCCCATATCTCTGCCTGAGAGCCCTGTAATTTCAAAGTTAGAATAATTCAGAGGGAAGGGAGCTGCATTTTCCATTCCAAGGGAGGCTCCTGCCTTCCTTAGCAGACACCTGTCTTTCAAAGCAAGAAGCAAACCGCCCCAGCAGTGGTTTGTACCTCTGCTGTCACAGGCAGCTTCTCTGTGCATCAGTGAAACCCTTGGACAGGTGCACAGGGAACATCACACAGCTGCCACTGCCTGAGGCCCTGCCAGGTGACAAATTCTCAGGAAGCATCGCTCTCTTCTGGACATGTTAAAACAGTTGTGGAGCTTCACCACACTTTGTACCTGTCCCAGATTGAGAAGCAAGTTGTATTCTATTATCATCTGTACAGCAGTTGTGTTAAGTGAACAGTTTTCCTTATCTCTTCCACAAGCAATCCTTCCTCTGGGGAGACATCTGCTGATAATAGGCCACCGAGTGTCACTGCACGACTGATAAGAACTGTAATGTCCCATTGTGAGATGCTCTGCCCAGAGGGAGGAGCCAAGCATTCCTACCTGGATATAATCTGGGGTTTCTGGAACAGCAGCATGGTTTTTCCTGCCCTGGATTTCCCAGAGGTAGAGCTGCCTCTTCCACTGCCTCTTCAGATGAAGACTGCACCCTTTTCTACGGGATCACTGCTCCCACAGAACCACACCTGACACTCCAGGAGGACTGCAGCCATAATTCCAATTGGAATGCTGCCAACGCCCTGTCCAACAGGGTGTCAGGTTGTGTTCTGACTCTGTCACTGTTGTTTTGGTTCACTGCATTGTTTATTTTATCTTTTTATTTTCTTCCCTAATAAAGAACTGTTGTTCCTGGTCCCATATTTTTGCCTGAGAGCCCCCCTTAATTTCAAATTTATAACAGTTCGGAAGGAAGGGGTTTACATTTTTCCATTTCAGGGGAGGCTCCTGCCTTCCTCAGCAGACCCCTGTTTTTCCAAACCAAGACAGTCCCTAACTCAGAACACTCTTTTTCACTGAAATGGATTCAAACATGGTCCAGGATAAAAATTAATCAGTACTCAGGGGACACCTTCCAAGAAATCTCTGCATCAGGAATTGGTCCAGTTCAGCCCACAGCTCTTAACTTCACACCAACCCCACAGGTCTCCAAGGTGCATAGAAGCCTCTGTGCTTTTTCTGCTTTTCCGGGCTATAAACAGAAATATTTCTGATGGAAGAGCTGACCCAAGTTTCTTCGTACAAGTCCCATTCTTGGTAACCCTATTGCACTGGAAATCACGTTGTATTGAACATTGGAATTGTGCAGAATACATCAGAGAAAACTAACCTGGAATGCTACAGCCAACTTCCAAACTAGGAAGCAAGCTATGGACTGTCACAAACCTATCACAGAACACTAAAACTCCAGAGGTTTGAGTGAGCCATAATGTTTGAAAGTCCTGTCCCTTGCCACATCATTCCACGTTCTTAGAGGACACAGAATATACACAGAAAAAGTTTGTTTTGCTGTGACTTGAGCATGGATTGCATTGCTGATACAACTGGAAATAGACACAACTTTCCTGCTTGAATTCAGCCTCCTATGAAAAAAATGTACCCCCCTTTTATTTTGAAACATTTCTCTCAAGTTCTGCTTCATCTCTGTTTCACAGATGGGAAAAGCGGCCTGGAGGTGCTAATCCTGAAATGCTTTTCGAAATTTGATGGGAAATTAGACTGCACATGACTTGTGAACCTGCTGGGGAGAGAAATGACTTTCAGGGATCACACAGGAAACTGGTGGACAGGAGAGAGAACTGAAATAGTCCCCAAATTTGGGACAGTGCCTCCTCAATCCCTCTGAAGCTCCATGCTGCAGACAGTGGTCACTGCCACAACCAATGGCACTGCGGCTCAGTTTATGGGTCAAGTGGGATTTTGTTTACTTTTTTAAAAGCAAACCTTCAAATAATAAATTTTAAACTCTCTTAGGTGGCAAAATGTAGTACATGGGCTTAAAATAACAAGGCTCAAGAGCATCTAAATCCCTTTTTAAGTACCACTTGCCTTTCTAATAATGATAATCCCACACTGAATGGATCACTGAACATTGGCTCCTAAATTGTTCTGTTTGCTCTGCAGTGTTTTTTTAAGATTGTGAATGTTTTCATTCCTTGAAGAGAGTAGGGTGGGAACCAGTCTATTATTTCTGGAGGAGGAAACTCACCCACATTGCCTTTCAAGAACAGAAGTTGTACAACTTTTTGGTTTTTTTTACAGACTCCTCTAGCAGTTAAAAATGTGGCTGATTCTCTCTAACTCCATCACTTCCTCTCCTGTCAAACCTAAATATTTCTCCTAGCTCCTATCAGGTAATTTCCATGTACTGTGACAGCATCTATAATTCTGAAGTATTTATAAGTCTGTCTGTTTAATATTAAACTACATGCTCTAGAGCTGTTAAATATTTATGCTACGTAAAATGGATCTAATTTCACTGCACCTCGGCTGGTTAGAGACCTGCATGAGGACAAGACAGCCAATTTAAGATAACAGATGACTGGCCAGCATCTTTTACAGGTCAGCTATGCTCTATTTCAGGAACTGGGCAGGATTATTCTCCAGATGCTCCGTCCCTTCCAGCCTTGCTGGTCCCCAGGCCAGCAGCTAATGGAGATTACGGGTTGTAGTGCAGCCAGCACTGCTGGGCAGTGCCAGGGATTTAAAAGAATTCCTGCTGCCTACATCCAGTGCAAGAACCTTCTGCTCCTCCCTGGGCCAGCAAGGGGAGAACCCACACCCACTGCTCACCTGCCTGCTCCAGCTGTGAGGAGCACTGGTGGGATGTGTGTGCCACTGACTGTCCTGCTGAGCTCCAGGGACGTGTCACCTCTGTCCCTGAGCTCAGCCAGCAGCAGGGTGTCAGGAAGGAGGACACACCTCAGTGTGGGGAGCACTGCTGTGCCCAAGGCTGTGCTTACAGAAAGCTTTTGGGAATGCTGCCAGCCCAGTTCATGTCAAGTTTCATGCCTAAGTTAAACACCGCCTGTATTTCAGTATCCTGCAGCTTTCCCAAAGCCCAGTTTTCTTGCTATCTAAACAAGCCAGACTCTGGCTTTTGTATCTGAGAAGCACATTAGGAAATGTTGTCCTGGTTTTTACAGCCTGCTGTACTTAACATCTCTTAATTTTTACAACCAGCAATAAAATGCTCCAGTAGGGTCCTTCTAGCCTGAAAATAAATCAGTTTTTGAGTTATTGAGTAGGAGTTTTTTAGTACTGAGTTGTCGAGCTGGACCTCATTCAGCAGACAGAAGTACATGGACTACAGGTAGTACAGCTGGACCACTGGATTTAGCAACAATTTCTGCCAGTGATTAAGGATCCTTCTCCTTAATTTCAGCGGAGAGAATTCTGTGTTTCTACTGCAATGTGCCATCAAGTGCCTGTTTGAAGCAATGCTTTAGGAAGGGACACAGGGGGACCAGTCACTAAGGGCATTCCCCCAGCAGATTCCTCCTGTCTGAACTTCCTTAGATGCTGGGAGGTCAAAAACATCTCCAAAAGACCTTGTAAACGCACTAAAACCTGAAATTTTAGGTGATGCAAAGTTCATAGCCAGACATCCTTGAAAGGTAAGGAGATTTTATGGCCTTAATCTATGAAAAGCAAATCACTTTTCAAATACAGCCGGTTAAAGGGTGTTTTTTGCATCAGAGCAGCACCACCCTCCACCTGTGCCTCAGGGATGATGAGCAGCCCAGGCAGATGCAGCAGTCTGAAATTCCAGCTACTGAAACATCAGCATTCAGAGCTGATGATTGAGCCTGAGACTGGACAAGGAAAACAGAGGCTAAGGATGGTCACTTGTAGCTCCACTCCTGCTGTAAGAGTGAATTTTATCAACTGATCTGTGAACACAGGGAGGGACTTGCACTGATGCTGCTGTTATAACTAATTCCTGCAGGTAACTGATGAGAGAGTTGTGGAGTAGGAGAGCTGGAGCAGCCCCTGTAACAAATCAAAGCCACAGCTGTTCTTTCACTGTTTTGCTCACTGCAGAAGCCAAAACAAAGCAGAGATCTCTCAGCTGGACTCTGCCACACTTGAGTGCAAACATTGGTCCCAGTCCTGCAGCACCTTTTCACCAGACACTTCAGGAGGAGCAAACCCAGCAGGCTGGATACTCCAGTTCAAGTGTGTACCTTCTGTGCCCTTCATTACAGAGTTTTTGGTAACAGTGCAGCAGGTTAGCTGGGTTAGCCATTGCTGCCCTGCAGTAGCTAAGCACAGTTCCCAAT